AACATACGTAACCTAAACATCTGTACCCCCATAATATGCTGAAATAAAAAAAAATGAGTGGGAAAGGATGAAATCTCTTTACCTGAGACCAGTAGTTCCAGGGGGTCACTGGGTTCTGACCACACCTGTGGGGAGTTCTTGTAATAGCCGTAGCACCTGAACGTCCACCTGTGGCTGGGGGTCATGGGGCCCACGGGGAACAGGCCCTGGTACTGCCTGTAGGAGGTTCTCTGTGAGTCCCGGGTCCAGGAGAGCTTGTTCCCTTCCTCGATCAGAATGAACCTGCCAAATCCCTCCTGTGAGCCACACTGGAGGGTCACGTTCCCTCCTGGGGTCATGACAGGGCTTGGCAGGGCTGAGAGGGTGGGTTTGCCGTAGGGTACTAGGAGAGAAGGAGGCAGCGTGTTGAATGGGGCTCACACCTCCCACATCACCCCCAGGGCTGGGCTGTGAGAGGGAGTCACCCCTGAGAGCAGACGCCCTGACTCCCATTCTGAGCGCAGAGTCTGGGGCTGGGACCCCTAAGTGTCCTCTCACCTGTCACCACCAGCTCCAGGGGGTCACTGGGCTCTGACCATCCATCAGGGCTGTAATAGTAACAGCGATATCGCCCTGCGTGATGCTCTGTCATGGATGGGATGTTGAACTTGGCCTTGTCCCCAGGCTCCAGTGGTTTCTGTGTGTCCCAGGGCTCTTGTCTTCCATCTTTATCGAGACGGTATTTCTCGGCACCCAGGGTCCCCTGACACCAGATGGTACCAGGGCTCCCCCAGGTGATCAGAGAGTCTGGCTCAGCCCAGAGGGTGGGTTTGGGGAGGGTCCCTGGAAGGAAATCAGAGGCTGGCTCAAAAAAAGTCCCCACCCCTCAGATCCCAGCTCTCAGCCCAGGATCCGCCAGACTTCCCCATCAGTCAGCCCGGAACTGATATTCCCCATCCCCAGGTGCCCAGGGGTGTCCCCTTGTCCCCAGTGAGGAGGAGGGACCTGGGACAGCTGGGGACAGACTCACCTGCCTGCCCGTTAGTCCTAGGGCCCACACTCAATCCTGGAAGAGAGTTCCTTGTGAGACATTTGTCCCCTGAAGGCTGAGCATGTCCTGTCTTCTCCTGGAGCCTCCTGAGCCCCTGGGGTCTCCTGCTAGGGCAGGGCCTGGCTGCGGGGTGGGGTCCCTCCCAGATCAGGTGTCCCCTCCCCTCTTCCCATCTCACCGATGCAGAGCAGGGCCATGACGGTGGGGGTCATGACGTCTCCTCCCACTGGCCCCAGCTGGGCAGATGGACGAGACCACGGTACCTGTAGGACAGATAGACACTTAGGGCTGTGGCTACTGGGAGGGAAGCTGGGTCCTTCCTGTCATGGGGTTGTCCCATCAGCAGCCTCACAGGAAGGGGAACTGCCATCCTCAGAAGCCTGGTTCTCATTTCCCCAGGGCTGGAGCTGGGGCAGGCACTAGCTCTCTGCAGACATTTCAGACAGAAATGGGGTCTCCTTGACCCCCAGCCACCGCCTGCCTCATCTTTCCTCATCTTACTGAAGGTCAGAACACAGAAGGAAACAGACCCAGAGCCTTCTACGTTGGTCCCTCCCAGGTGAGGGTGATGAGGGCCCATCCTCCCTCTCAGTCCTCCCCACGGAGCCTCCCTCCCTCCTTCAGCCCAGCGCTGCGGGTCCTCACTAGGCAGTCGTCTCCCCACCCTGGGGATGCCTCAGGGAAGCTGCAGGTTCGTGCCCACGGCAGACTCGGACCAGCAGAGACACATGAGCATGTGACGGTGCAGGTCACGCTGAGCTGCCGTGTGGCCGTGAGCACAAAGGGAACATATGGGGCAACAAGGGGAGAGAAACGACTCCTCTCCTGGCCGTGGACTGTGGGTTTTCGTTCCAACAAACGATCCCCTTCTCGGGCTTCCCCTCCCCTTTGACTGTTTTCGGCAGCAGCGTCACCTGCCCCTCCCTGGGAACCAACGTCTAAGCCGCTGCTGCCTCCTCAGCCCCTGGTTTCCTCGGGCATCACGCTGCACCTCAACCGCTGTTCAGGGTTTTGGGAGCAATTACTTGTGTTTGAGCTCTGATTTGGGTTGTTGGGTGGGGAGTTGATTTTTATTTAATTTGTGATTGTCCTCCACTGTCTGTGTGAGCTGGGCAGTAAATTCCCATCTCTGAGCCTTAGTTTCCTCATTTGGAGCGTGTGGTCAGGACCCCCATCCTCACAGTGGAAGTGGGGTCAGTGGTGTCTGGGGGATGGGAGGGCTCGATCCTGGTTAATTACAGACCAGGTTAAGACAGGAGGGGTGGGGTCATGAGAGGATCCTGGCGCAGCGACGCCTAGTCTAGGTGGACAATGGATGCCCCCAACTCCTCCCAACGCTGAGAAATGCACATACAGTGTGTCTGAAATACGCAGATCCTCAACATCATGAGCAGAAGAAGAGATATGAACGTTCCTGAAATGGAGTCGTATCCACA